AATTTTTTATTTTCCCTTTTTTTTTTTTTTTTTTTTTGTCTTTTTCCGTGTCCGGCAACGGTTCGCAACCCTCAGTGTCACGCCTGTACCGGACCGGGACCGGCAACGGGATCGCAACCCTCGGCGCTGCCCCCGCGCCTCGCTCAGCCAGTGAGCGGGAACCGGTCTGTATGTGGGATCCGAACCCTCGACGGGAGCGCCGCCGCGCTTCCCAAGCGGCGCACTAGCGCAGTGCGCCACCGGGCCGGCCCATAATTTTCCCTTCTGAATAGGAAAACCAGCGTGGATTCATATCCATCAGATGAGCAAATAGTCCGGCACTTCCCTGGGGATTGTCCAACTCTGGGAGGGTCTCTGTTCCCAGCACAGAGATGAGAGAGGGCCAGAATCCAGAGCCTTTGGCCATGGTCATTGCTTCTCTCTGCCACACAGTGGCGCAGTTGGCAGCAGGTTTCAGTCCAACTGCCAGGTGAGTCCTCAGTTGTATCAGGCCCCACTCAGGTGGCTGTGCACCTTCCAGAGAAGACAACCCCCAAATGCCACACCTGACCAAGGGTGCCTCTTGCACAGGCTCCCAGGGTCACAGTAGTTTCCACCAGCAGCACCCACTCTCCCAGCAGCCTGGTCCCAGGGTGCTGCCAGGACTGGTCCACTCCAGCTGACATGGAACTCAAAGTCCTTTCCTCCCCAAGAAGTCATACATACAGGGGCAGCTTCCCAGGAAGCCAAAGAGTGTCCCTACACTCTCTCCAAGCCAGAGGTGTTAATTGCTCTATTTCAATGGGCGGCAAATCAGTTAGGAATGCACCAGGCTGCGAGGAACAGAAACTCAACAAACCATAGCTTGAACAAATAACGTTTCCTTTTTCTCACATAATAAGAAAACTTGAGGTAGTGGTGGCCACATTGGCTCAGCTGTCCAACAGAGCTATCAGGGACCCAGGCTCTTTGCTGTCTGTCTGGCCCTGTCTGTAGCACGTTGGCTTTTGTCCTCATGACTGATGGCTCCAGGTTATGAACTGACTGCTGCAGCTCCATCCTTCACATCTATGCTCAGGTAGGAAAGGGGCCCCCATTTCTTACCCCTTCTATCAGGAAGCAAAGCTCTCCCATGAAGCCCTGCAGACATCCCAATGGCTGAAACATCACACAGCTACCCCTATCTGCAAGGAAGCCTTAGAAGTGAGTGTTTAGCTTTTCCAATCTCTAAAATACTAGGCTACAAAGGAGGACTAGCTGTTAGACAGTGAGTGATGTCTACAAATGATTTTCTCTTAATGGGTCCTATTTCTCCACACTTAACCCCTCCAGGAAACCCACTTCTCACAGATGACTCGCCCTCCTGAGAGGAGGTTTCACAGCCCTCTCAGAGCACGAAGAGGGGAGAAAACAGGGGTTCATATCTTCATATGTGGGGAGGTAGCATAATTCATACCAGAAGGGAAATGAGTCTCCATAATCTTCCTTCTCCCTTTCAGACACTTGTGGGGAAGGAAAAAGAAAGTCAGAGATGTGGAAGCATCAGCTGACCCCCTGGGGGTGGGGTGGGGGCTGGGGGGTAGAGCTGATCCACCATCTGGCACTGCTTTCTGACCCCGGAGGCCATTAAGGATCTTTGGCAAAATGTGGGCTTGGAGGGGAGCAGAGAGGTGGAGAGATGTGCTCTGCAAAAAAGGGTGAGGAATTGAGTCTGGGAGGAGGGGGTGGAGTGGGCACCAGAGGGCAAAGTGGGAAGGCAGGGAGTCCCTGAAGTGAGGCTTGGAAACTCCAGGGCAAGTGGGCTACACAGACAGATGCACAGTAGGAGTGAAGCTTTGGAGGGGTGCAGGGCCTGGAGCAGGACTGAGCATGAGGATGGCTGCCAAGCCACCCAAAGTATCTCGGTGGAAGAGGAATCAATGCCAGAGATGACTGGGGAAGGCAGATGCCACCACTACTGCCCCAACCCCCCACCCCCATGAAGTCCTAGCCAGGACAGGAGGGACTTGAGGTCCCACTGCAAGCACTGGGTTCTGAGCCAACCTCCCTTGGGTCTCCAAAGACAGGGCACTTTGGCCCACTTCCAGTTTTCTGAAACACATTCAAATGCCACAGACATCATTCACTGGGGAGGGGAATGTGTCCCCAAATGGTGCATTCCCTCCAGCCCTCAGAGGCCTCCATCACCCGGTCCCCCTGGATGCTGGTGGTAGCTTGGAGGGCGGGTGCCACATATGGAAACCTGAGTTCTCTGTCTTGCCCATGTACCGAGACACGCTGACCTGTCTGCTTGGGATAGGCGGCCAGAAGGCAAGTGGTCTGAGCCTGTGGCCACAGCCAGCAGCAAGGCCCGCGGCTCCTAGACCAGCCTCAGCCCCACGCTTTCTAGACCACAAAGCACAACGTAGATGGAACTCATTTTC